GATCTTTTGTCTCGGCCAAGGCTTTCTGTTTGTCAGCCTCGACCGCGTTGGATAGCTCGGCCAGTCTTTCTTTTTCAGTAACTAGCTCGGCCAGCTTTGTGTTAACCTTCTTCAGCTCGACTGCCTTAGCTTCTATATTAACTATGGCTGACCGTATTGTCTTGCGTAGTTCAAGCACATATTTGTGATCAATGTGGTTTTTTTGCACGACTTGCGATTTAAGTGAGAGCTGTTAGAATAAACCGAGCAAACAGTTGTACAAACTATGGATGTAAATAAGTAGATGGATGACTTACAAGCACCATTGACTTGGTAACTGATCGAATGGCCTTGAGCATGATCAAATGGTCGTGATGTTCCATGTCGGCCGACAGACGGAGGCTTTTCGATAAGTTAAAAGCCGACATATGGTCATTTTCAGTAACCACCAAATCCGTGACGGACACAGCGTGGTTTTTGTAAGACATGGTTGGTGCCCATATCGGTGGAAAAAAGAGCCTACTCGGCCAGAACAGGCAAGCTCCAACTTCGGTAGCACGGGATCAGAAAGTGCGGTCTCTTCTTTATCCACCGGACATTGTTGTTTGATTGATGAGGTGAGAGCACGCTTGCTTGGCCGAGATGTTGTTACCCTGGTGGTTGAAAGGGCGACGATTGTCTTGCGCGGTTGGTTGAAGGGTACTTGTTCGGTTTGAACCTTGGCAGAGGTCTGCTCGGTGATAAAAGCTCACATGGCGCTCCTCTTAGCTATTTCTTATTCTTCAGTAAGTGGAATTAGGTTGATTTGAGAAAGGCTTGGGTCTGGTTCTGGCGAAGATTCGAGGAGGAGGTCAGTAATTCGGTTCGAAGCTTAATAGCTCGGTCCCATCCCGATGCTTGTATCTTAGCGCGGTGTGAAGCGCATCTTGGTTAGCGTGTGGGTAGTTCTCCTTAAGCACATTCAGATTTGCAACAAGACAAAGGGTTAGCGCGACAACAGGGGATAGAAGAGTTTAGAAGAAGAAAAACCGAGTTACTCATACCAGCTATGCCCTTGTTCCAGTTTATGTTATAGCCCGGTATAAGGGTCTCCTGATCCTCATAATTCCCAATGACCTAAAGAAAGTCATCGTCATGCAAGTCTTTGTCTGGTGTGCACTTGACGACTTTCTTTCGGCCTCTTTTGACCTTGAGATAGTAGACCCAACCATCATTGTTATGGCCAAACGAGTATTGGTGGAATATCTCGGCCAGTCCCAAGTTGAGGCCAAGGTGGTGGTTGAGCTCGGCGATGCCGTTTGTAATCTTATATGTATTGGTAGATAATTGCGTGGAGCAGAGTCAGTCTACTTGAGGAATTCACAAATAAGGGGTTGGACCAGAAAACGGAGTCCACCCTCTACAATTGATATTACGGCGAAGGGGCAACAACTAGGCCTTTCCTAGAGTATCGTATCTTGCTCGGCTAGGGTGAATTGCACATTGTCTGGAATGTTGTAATCCCTCATAAATTTGGCTATGGCACCTGGTGAGCTAACCATGAAGCGGTACTTGCCTGTTGGCTTCAAGTTAAGGGTTATTGGGGTTTGCTTGGCTGAATTGATCAGCGTTGTTGGGTTACTCGGTTGAACATCACCGTCAGAGGAGCAAAGTGAATGGTGTGCCTGGACAACCTAGTCAAGTCTGAAAAGTGACAAAATAATAAAGTGTTAAGCCCAAAAAGTTGATCGGGCTAGAGATGATAGTTTGCTCGATCGAGAGTGTGCATGTGCTTAGCACGGTTATGAGCTGAGATCAGCTTGGCCCACTACCAGTTCAAGGGTTTAGTCCGATGTTGGCATAGAACCAAGATTCAGTTTGGTTTGGACTAAGGGCACTATTTTAGCCCGATTCAAGCAGCATAACTAGCTCGGTTAGGTATATTCCATCATAAACAAGCTTTCAATTTGGTCACAACACGATTTTTAATCAAAATCATTGCTGTAATTGTTGCAATCCCATCCATTTGATATTCATCTTTTGGACTTTTAAGGGTTGTTTAAAAGCTGTGACTTGGATCGTAGGCTCTCTTTAAGCACATTTTTAGTGGATAACTACACTATACTATTGTACTTAAGCCTAGATGGTAGATTAACTAAAACACTAAACAATCATGGAAAAAATAGTGAGTGGCATAAAGGACTTATAGGTTTGGGCTTCGATTTGAGGATTCCAGTTGGTTGAAGTGCCTCGTCGAGCGATCGCGAGTTCACCAGAGCAAAACACAGCTGCAATCTGAGGTTACAGTGAAATAGTCAAAAGGGTTAGGAGTTTTGGTAAAATAGAGGAGCGATGAAGGAAAGGAATAGTGAATGTGACTCTTCACTATATACAAGTTGTATACATAAGACATGAAAATACGGGACTGATTAAATTTTTGGGCAGCGGATGACGGCTGTTGTAGCGATATGGGCACAATGAGGGCCTGCCACGTGTTCAAAGGAATAAATGGAGTGTCAGACATGCCAGAATGGTGGACCGACGTGCAGTGCAACGGATAAGACATTTTTGGATTAGGCAGATCGTGAGACCGATGGGGCATTTTTATCTCAATAACTAGCAGAATGGCAACTCGACTGAGAGACAGTAATCCCAATCATACTACGCATATGGAATTAAGGGGCAATTGATAGGTTAATTTGTGTACAAATTGGGCCGAGCTAGGTGAGGTTGTCTTTTTAGGTCGGGTCGTATATTGGGCCGAGTTATGAATAGCGTAGTTTAGTGTTAGTTGTTGTTAGGGCAGTCAAAGGGTATGGGCCTAGCTACACGCGTGTAGCCCGTAACAAAAATTGGAGTAGCATGATGGTCGACCAGTAACCTGGCTGGATAACGCATAACGGCTGGGTTGCACAACTCGGTCAGTGGAATAGTAGCACAAGGTAGCTCGTTTGGATACCACTAGCCAAGTAGAGTATTAGGCTATTCCACTTGGCTTGTAGTGAAATGGATGTTTTAAGGATAAGTATTATCCTTAGGTATGTGATTCCTAGGAGAACTCTATTAAGGAGAGATATAGTCCTACTAGGATTGTGCTAGGCAGAATCAATAAAAACCCATAATAGGACCTGTGGACAGGTATTACAATTCTTACTCTTAAATACACAGAGTTTATTGGCTATTGTCTAATTACTGACTTAGGCATCGAAAGGGTTTCTAGCACACATGCGCCGGCTAGCTCATGTTTGTGTTTTTAGGTAGTAAAGCGACGACATTTAGAAAAATACAAACTTAATCTATAAAATTATACGAGAAGATTATTTTGTGCAAAAACAATAAAATAATAATAATAATAATAATAATAATGAATTTGCTGATGTTGTTTTGAACCTAGTACGATGACCAACTTCATTCTGCTCACAAATCCACGTACGTGCAAGTAAATTATGAGAGCTTGACTGATGCAGCAGAATACACATGGACATTATATATTATTTTGGGTTATATAATTTTTTTAACTCTAAAAATACACATGGACATTATATATTATTTTGGGTTATATAATTTTTTTAACTCTAAAATATAAGTTTTGTATCATTTTAATCTTTAACGTATGAATTATGTCAGTTTATTCTTTAGTAGAGTGGTTCTACCTGATTCTCTTAGCAAACTCTGTTTGTAGATGATGTTAAAGTAAGGTAGGAGTAAACATAAAAATTCAATTAAAAAATTTATGAAAATTTAATTTAAAATATTACTCTTTTAAACTCTAAAGTAAGAGATTTGTGTTATTTTAGTCTTTAATACTTGAAGTGTGTTAATTTAATTTTTAAAATATAAGAAGCGTGTGAAATTGGTCATCCAATTTAATTCGTCTCTCTTCATCTTAACAAAGGATAAAGTATGAAAATCATAAATTCAAAAAGTGAAAAAAAAAACAAAAAAGGCTAAAAACATCATTTTTCATGACATCTGTTGGTTATCCACATGTGTATACATATTACCTATATATTAAATATAATAGATGATGCACTACAAGAGAAAATATTTATTGCAATGAAAAAGAATAGTCGTCAAAAGCAAATTGGTGATGATTTTTTTTTTCCACATCCTAAAAATTATATTTTCTTCTAGTAGTGACAATATTTCTCTCCAAAGAAGTTGGCTTTTTTTCTTTTTTTTTTTCAAATTTTGATAATATATATTTATGATTTTCAAGTTAAACACAGGCAAAATTATGTTTGACGACCAAATAGAAATTAGGTTGGGGTGTTTGGTGGCAGCAGTGTGGGTGGCCACTCTATGTGGTGGGTAGAAGAGAAGAAAGTGAAAACTTTGGAATCAATTCTATTTTTTTGAAAAACAAAAACAAGAGTAATAAATAAGTTTCTATTTTTATTTTTATTTTTTAAATAAAGAGGGTAAAATGAAAAACGACCAAACAACCAAGTGTTAACAAGTAGCTTAGAGAATTACAAACGACCACACGACCAAGTGTTTATATCTTTTCTCATTGGATAACAAGTTGCTTAGAGAATTACAATGAGAAAAGTACAATGCAGCTTTGGAAAGTATAATAATCATAGAGCTACAATGCAGCTGCCACATAACAAGCAACAATGAGAGAACTATTGGAGGCAAGAACATGAACACACACAAGCAGCTTTGGAGACAATTACATGCTTACTCTTTGATATCTATCAAGGATTCAGCATTTACTTTCCTAGTTTTAAACTAACTTGCCTCAGACATTTTCAAACAACAAAAAGAAAACACTCATATACACAAAAGACTCAATTGGAAAGTATAATAATCATCAACAATGCTAGGTATCATGAAAAGTCTTTCATGAAAATGATCATGAAAGATTTGTGACCTTTAGATTATACTTAGAATAAAATACCACACACTAATCAAGGTAATTTAAGAGTCACAAATCTTTCATGATCATTTTCATGAAAGACTTTTCATGATCCCCAATATTTCTCAATAATCATAGAGCTACAATGCAGCTGCCACATAACAAGCAACAATGAGAGAACTATTGGAAGCAAGAACATGAACACACACAAGCAGCTTTGGAGACAATTACATGCTTACTCTTTGATATCTATCAAGGATTCAGCATTTACTTTCCTAGTTTTAAACTAACTTGCCTCAGACATTTTCAAACAACAAAAAGAAAACACTCATATACACAAAAGACTCAAACTTTCCCCTACTTTTTCACAACAAGCTTGTATCGGGTCCGTGCAGGCTCATCGCGAAATTGCATACCCAAACCCAAGTGATTCATCATTAACCAAACAAAAGTAAGAAGTTCTCCACCCCGACTTAGCTGTTGCGCATGGACATGTGCTTCACAATTGACTGCAGCATAGCCTAACAGGTCAACCCACACTTTGCTCATCAGCTTCCATGGCTCTTCTCTCTCCATTAGTTGCCTTGCAAGCCTACACGCATCGAACAACACAGAGTTGCTTGCATCCGTTCTTAGGACAGCACGTCGAAATTCAGTAGCCACAGAAAAGATCGTGAGGCAGGCTTCCCCGTGGTCCCTTACTGATCTCGTGCTAAGTAATCTCTTAGCTTCTGCCGTGGTGTCTTGAGTTATTTGTGGACAATGGCCAGCCACCGGAACCATCATTGTAGGCTTCATCACAAGAAGATATAACATGTAGTCTGAAATAGTCTTACAGAATCCACGTTCATGTACATCGTCAGGATTATCATGGGACGATCTGCACACATAAAAGCAGAGATCAGCAGCGATGTGCCATAGCACGAGGCTCTTCCCATATTCAATCTCTCCGAGGCTCCATTTGAATTGATTGTAGCAAGAGCTTTGCATGAGCGCCCAATCACCTCTTTGTGAACATATCATTGTGGCAGTTTCTACATTTTCTGCGACTTCTGATTTTTTTTTCATCTCTTCAAAAATCTTATACCTTACAGATTTGGGGGCGACGTATGTGGTCGTTGTTTGTCTGATTCTCGAGGCCGCTAGAAGATTCATAATGAGCTGAGCACCGGGTATTTTTCTATTTACTCTTGGATGTTTATGAAGACAATAGCTTACGATATTGAATTTTGAGACAAATTCTGACCACCTGTGCCTGTTGACAATAGCAGTAGCAATACGTTCTTTCCAATTATAGTGCTTATGCGCAATTAGATACCAGTCTGACAAGAGAAGCATTAAAAAGGACAAGATTTCGAGGACTATAGTCCCAAGGATTAAGACGTAGGTGAAGATGACATCAACCTTTAAAAACCCGCTCTTGTCATATAGAAAGAATAAGAAAGACGCTACGACGATTGAACAAGCACTGATCACTCGGAGGACGGATCCAATCTTTCTTCGAGCTACAACAGCCTTAGTATGGAGAGCGTCATGTACGATGCTAAGCTCCATTTCTAATATTTTAAAAGCATCACGCTCACTTATTTTGAGAAAGAAGTTGCGACTGATTTGGCGCTGCTCGAGGTTGAAACTAGTGCCTCCCATGAATCCCTTGAAGGTTTTATAGAAGAAATGAGCAAATTTCAGCAATGACTTGTCATCCAGATGTCCTGCCTCCTCATGACCTACGTTGGGCAGATGATCAGATTCAAAAGAAGCCTTGAATTTCTTTGGAGGTATTTGGAGACTCTGCACTTCCACGGGCAGGTGTGCCTCTCTCATTTCCATGTAAGCCACTGAGAGTTTTTCATAGTCAGGCCTGGGGTTTCGCTCCATTTGTTGTATGGAATTTATCCAATTATTAGGGCTTGCCAAATGCCGAGCCCATATACGCTCTGCATACTTCAATAATCCTGCAAGAAACACCAGGATTGCGGGCTGAATTATGAAGGGGAAGGACCGAGAAGCTCGTTGGAGAATAAAAAGAATTGCCACAAATTGTGCGACGACCTGAACCCACTGCTTAAGCGACACCTCATTCTCGTCGAGGGAAATAGATGAGATGTTATCAGGGCCACTGAGGTGAAACAACAGAAAGGGAGCCCAAAATGCATAAAGATTATGGGCAGTACCAATATTGATTCGTTGTCTGTTGGAGATGAGTCCAAGAGCATAAGGAGTGGCCCAGTCTGCCAAAAAATAAGCTAAAGAGATGAATGTCACTACCCATTTCTTAGCTGCGCGTTTTCTGTAGGATGCAATCAAGACTAGACACACCTGCAGAGACAAACTCAGCAGAACAAAGAGCTGGATGTTCCACGCATTCCAAATTTTCGCAACATCGTGAAAAAGAGAGTTGAACCTCTCTATGATATTATTCGTATTCGTCATTACTCTAAGCTGGGCTGGAAACAAGTGCTCTGAATCAAGACCCTGCCGAAGAGAAGTAAATGTGAAAAGGTGTCTTTGAGTTTTAGCTGAGCATGATGATGATCATCCTCATGCTTATCGAGTTAGGGCTCTGGAAATGGATGTAGATGATTTGGAGGATGATTGATTAGCTGATTGGAAATGGTCTTAGGTGTGGAATGGTGTCTGTTTGAGTTGGGGCTGGCTGGCTGGCTGGCTGGCTGTGTCTTCCTGGTTGAGAGTGTCTGCTTTATAGGATGTCATGTGGAGCTAATTAAGGTCAGAGAGTAAGACAAAGATGCTGATTGATGCAGCTTATATAAACTGTTTAGCACTTATTTTATTTTGAGAGTTTATGCAATATTGTTTGGTACAATTTTTTCTTACAGTTTAATGGACAGAAATAATTTAAATAAATTTTAAAAAGTTGATTATATAAAAATTGGGAGAGGGTGCTTTTGGTTTTTACTTTTTGATTATCAATTTTTTACTTAAGTCTCGTTTGTTGGGGCAAAATTTTTTTTTTTTTTAGAAAATGCTTTCTGCATTTTTTGACATTTGGTACAATAAAAAATGAAAATCAACAAAAAAAATTCTATATGGGCAGAAAATGTTATTTACTTTTAAAAGGCAGAAAACGTTTTCTGGATTAAAATCTTAACAATGTCACCACACTACCACCAATACTCTCACCTCCATTACCATTACCATCACCACGACCACTGTTGCCATCACTGCCACCCCACCACCATGCTACCACCTCCATCTCCATCCTTTTCCTACTACTACCACCACTGCTACCACCACTGCTATCACCACCACCATTATTGAAAAATATTTTCTCCAAAACACATTTTCTAATTTCTTTTCTTTCATAGAAAATAATTTTCACCCAAACAAACAGGACATTATTAAGTTGCACAAAATAGGCTTGTACTGAAAATGACTCATTTCTTGAGTTTGGAAAATGTAACTATATACATCTGTAATATTGAAGTATTGCTCCACATCACTTATCACACAATATGTGTCATTTTGTCCATCTAACGCCAACACTAAGTGAAAAACCTTAAAAACCCTGATATAGTGATTTGTAATTACAATTCAATTTTAGCAATGAATAACAATCCCCAATCCAACACAAGTTGATTTAATTCAACTAAATGAGAATTGAACTTTATCTACCAAACAAATATCGACAAGTCAATACAATGATATAATGTAGAAAAAGCCACAATTGGAGAATATTCAATTGCGATAAAAAATTACGGGCCAAAGTCCCAAAACAATCCACTAAGAAGACAAGTGAATTACACACGAGAACCCTCAATTACCTAACAAATCCACGCCCAAATTGACTTGAACCCGTTGTGCCTTTTCCACCACTGTCATCACTTCAGAATTGTTTTGCCCAACGTTAAATCTACAATGCCAATGTCCAATCCACGTCAATGACCCACTTCGGAATTCACCAAAATTTCATACTCAAGTTTCCCGGAATATATCGATGAACACCTCTCTTTGAGTTTCAATTTAAACGAAAGAAACCCTTTGATGATTGTTAATATGAAACTCGTTGATCCATCAATCACCCTCAATTCATCAAGAAAATAATATATAAACACCCTCAAATATAGAACACTATGGCTTATCTCTTCAGAGAGAATTCTGGACGGGTTAAACCGTAAAACGCGTAGCCGCGACACTTTATAACAAACAGAGACATAAAGACCGCTCAAGCACATGAATGACCGCTCGAGCTCAAGACTTACCGCTTGAGTGGTAAAACTGAACTCTTAGTATCTCTAAAATCAGACTGAGATACTGGAAGATCCAATTCAGCATTCGAGCGCACACTTGACCGCTCGAGCTGTCCAAGAAGTTTGACAGGCTCAATAACACTTCTGCTCAAGCACACCTTTCCTTTAGCACAATCTCTTATACTTTAGGCACAAATTGGGTTTAATTCGTATCTAAACACTCACAAACTTACAACAACAAAAAAAAAAAATAGTGAATGCAATTACATTTGAAAGGAAATGAGTTTTGTCAAACGAGATTGCCAATCACAAAATACCTAACAATCTCCCTCTTTGGCAATTTTGTGACAAAATACACCTAACAAGAAAGTCCTAATCACCCTAACCCAAAACAATAACAAAAAAGCAAACTTCTCAAGCTCACAATCTGTAAAACAACTATTAAACTCTCCCATTTTTTGTCATGAATTGATGAAGGGAGCTTATCTAACAATAGAACAAATACTAACCACAAAAACAAAGCCTGAGACGCATAAGCAAGGAACAAAATGATGTAAAAATCAACAATAGCATGCGAGAAATAAGTAACACTAAACAACATGCAAATCAACATGCACCAATCTGCCTTATAAAAACTATCAAAGTAAGTTCATACTCAACAAACTCCCCTTCAACAAACATCCACCTTATCAAAGTAGCACCAAGCACTAGAAAACAAAGAATAAAACAAAAAGACACAAACAATATGGTAAGTAGAGCAAGTGAGGGATTTCAAATTTGTACCTCAATACACACAAGAACATCTAAGAAACACAATTATTCGAAAACACAATATCCACAATCTTTAGTAGATTCCTCATGAAAGAATGTGGTGCAACATGTGAAAAGCATAGATCTCATGAGAAAAATCTGTGTGTGTGGCTCCTGGAATTCGAAAAACACTAGAGTCAAATCCTGGTAATGATCTGATGGCTGGACCTCCGGCAAGAGAATCTGCAAATGATTGAGAAAAGTCAAACCTCTAGTGATCAAGGGGCATTTGTTGAATAAATGGGAAAGCTCCCCCTCAGACAAAACAGCACATTTTCTTGTGCACTCACCGATGACTTTCACGTTCAAGAGTATTAAAATCGAACCACGAAGGATGGAAAAGAAAGTGAGACCTAGTTAGTGACTCTATGGTAGCCTTTTCCTCATGTCTTGAGAGACATGTACAGAGAAGTAAGCAGTGGCAATGTAATAAGATGGTAAGGGGTTAAAAGACTCAACATCACCCAAGATATGCTAGCATTGGTCAATTTCTCAAGAAAAACACAAGAAACAGTGCTAGAAATCCATAGAGAACTGTGATCACTTATGCGAAAGAGTCTGGTATTTGCTAATCCAAGAAGTGTACAAAATAAGACATACTAATCAAAGTATACACAATCCGAAATGAGAAATAACCATAGATAGCACACACACGCATTATCAAGCAATGGATTTCTCATTAATTCCAATAGGCACCAACGACTTTGCAAAACTTTCAAGCTTGCAAAACCATACTAGGAAAATCTTTTTGGATTTTTGATAAAGAAGACAAGAAAATAAAAAGCAACTAAGCACCAAAAATAAATAAATAAATAAAATTGAAAAATAAGAAAGAAAACAAAGACACAAAACAAAAAGAAAATAAAAACAAATAATCAAAAAGTCAACCCGAATCAAGCTTCCTCATCTAAACCGCTTTAGTATAGACAATTGTAATGAGTTGAATCAAATTGAATTTTTTCCCTTATTATTATTGTTGTGGTGTCGTGAACCATTCTATTTAAATTGGTGAAAATAAATTGAATTACTTCTTGATTTCGCCTTCGTAAGGCCCGCTTGGTAAAATTATTTTTTTAGTTTTAGTTATAGTGATTCTTGGGTCTTGAGTAATAAATGAGATATAAATTCAATTTTTGAGTTTTATTGATTAGCCCATACGTAATTATTTTGATTCATATTTAATTATGTGAATGTTGGGGATCACCTTAAGTCTTTTAAAGTTAATGTATACTTTAATCTCAGTTGGGGATTTATTTTAAATTATTAAACTCCATTAATTTTGGATCCAATTGATTGAATCGTGACCCGTTAGTAATTATGTAATATTGTTGTTGTTTTATTATTATTATTTGATTACCATAAAAGAGTTGTGAATATTTATGGTGTGTACCATTAAACGAAATATATTTTGAGGTAATAAAATATTATATATTGTTTTATCATTAACAATGTTGAAATATACTTTTAATTGATATATATAGATATATATGTATAGATAGATATTTTTATTGATAAAAAAAAGAAAATAAAAAAAAAGGGGCATTTAGTTATGATTGATTTTTGGAGAAAAGAAGTCAATCCAATTGTACCAAGCCTTGATGTACCTTATAGAATTTCATGGCTGCATGTGCTGGAAAGTGAAGTTAATGTATATGTGCAAAATGATGAAGTTTGCTGGAAAGAAATGGCAAAGGAAAATGAGTGGATGACAATTGTGAGTGTAGAGGAGCTCAGGCGGAGAGAACTAGAGAACAGATAGTCTAGTTCACATTTCTTTCTTTCTTTCAATCTGTGTATTTAGCTAAAATAAGGTTTTAGACCATAGTTCTTAAAATTAAAGTGAAGAACTCGGTGAGAGTAACGTTTTGACTGGTGGAGATCAAAATCTGGCAAAGTCGAAAATTGAGATTTTTGCTTGTTTCCTTTTCTAGCTTGAGGTAGGGATTTTTCCTACGCTTCTTTATGCATTTTTACTTGATTATAGGGAGCTTAGAGTTGTATATAATTTAATTAGAATTTTTTTAAAAAATTTGTGATTTATTTGCTCAAAAGAGAAATTTTGAGAAAAATAAAAAGTTGATGTCCAAATTGCGAAAGTGTAAACTTGGAATATGTTTGTAAGGTTATGAAAGAGTTATGTTTTAAACTTGAACAAAAACGGACTTCGATTCGATTGGTTTTGAAATTTTTATCGGTTTGTGACCAAAAGAGCATTTTTAAAGAAAACAAAGGAATTACACTTAAGTTTTGGGGCTTTCGATCAAACTAGGATATCATAATTGAATAATGCTTGGAGAATGAATTTGGAAAGAAAATGATGTTTTCTTAGGTATTAACGGTATTATTTTGCTTAATGTATCTGTTGGAATAAAACCGACACGGTTAGAAATGAACCTTGAGAGGTTATCGGACGTGATTGTGATATGAAAACTAGTGTGGTTGTTCATATTTGATGAGATGTGGACTATATTGTATTATCGAAATTTTTGAAATTTAATTGTTTAAATATCTGTTTAGAAATATCTGTTTTGGGCTATCGGTGGAGGATAACCATGATTGTTGTAGAAAGGTATGAGACTTAGGTAAATTGAACCACATTCCTCATTTGTTGTATTGGATATTGCATTACATTCATTTCATTGGAAATGTATATGTTTTTGGAAAATGTTTGGAAACGTATCTGTTTGCGAAAAGATGAATGCTTTGTGAATCATGGTAGGGGGTATGGAACTGCGCGGTTAGGTATCAAGCCTTCCAGTTTACTGGTAAAAATGACAGTGGTAATGCATTAGGGCCTACTTGCAGACA